GTTGATGTATTTCCTCAGCGACCAGCACGGATCAGCTCTAGGCATGACGAAGCGGATAGTGTCCTCTTTTGGAAGGCCAAACAAAGTAGTTTGGCTTTCACAACGAAACACACAGCGGCGGCCGGCGGTGGTCCTTGCCATTCAAAGCAGCCAAGGTTCCCAGACCTTCTGCTCGTCCGTCTGAAGGTCTGGCTATGCGAGACTAGGCAGGATGTGGCAAAACATTTTAAATAATGGATACATTTTTATTTTTATTTTTAATATTTAATAATGTTTGGAATTTATCTGATTAATCAAAGAAATAGTAGGCAGATTAATCATTTATCAAAATAATCGTAAGTTGCAGCCCTAAACTATGTAGTAATATTAATTGTTTGATATAAAATTGTGTATAAAGTCATATTAGATTTTTGTCACTGATTATGCAGTTGTTTCACACAGCTTGTTGAATATGTCTCAGTTTGAAATGTTACTTTGCCTTTTACTCCAGGGTTTGTTCTTTGATGATGCCTATGGGTTCTATCCCGGTCAGGTTTTGATCGGGCCATCAAAGGTTTTTGCTAATGTGCAATGGCTGTATGGTGTGAAGCCAGTTCTCAGTAAGAAAAGCAAGTTCAGAGTTGTTGTGGAGGAGGTAAGATGACAGTTTGACTCTCCAACTTAAACAAGAGTTCTGTAATTGGGAATATGTTGTAACTAGAGCAAATAACTAAACCAAACTAAGCTTTTGCTAAATGTCTTAACATGTTTTAATAATTTAAGTTTCTAGTTGTATATGTCTCGTACATGAAATATGTTTAATTACAGGTTCAGGTAGTGGAGCTAAAAGTGACGTGGATTACGAAAAGTTACTCTCCAAAGGGGTCAGACAGTGTCTTCCCACCACCATCAACCATCACACAGGAGAATCTTTGCAGGTAAAATCAGCTTTCTACAGTTTATCATTTTGATTATTTATAACTAAGACTGTCAATTGATTAAAAATTAAAATCAAATTATTCAGATGCCAAAAAAGATTGGTACAAAGATAGATAAGACAGTAATCCAATCTGGGAACCTAAAAGTGCTTAGAGGGCAGTAGAGTAAAATCTGTTAAAAAGCTCACAGAATTCCAGGCAATGTTTGTATGTATTTTTTCATTTCCATATTGAAATTATAAGTATAATATAAGTCAGTTGAGTAATGGGTTTAGGGGCTGTTCATACATTGCCTGTAACAGCGGGGGCTGCATATAAAAATCATTCCTTGATTTGCATTGTTCACTTGCTTGTAGGTGTGAACCGGATCATAGTTGATCATTTGCACGTGTTTCTAAGTCTTGCCAGTTTAAACACTCAAGTGTTTTAAAGGGTTAGTTCACCCAAAAATGAAAATTCTGTCATTAATTACTCACCCTCATGTCGTTTCAAACCCGTAAGACCTTTGTTCATCTTCGGAACACAAATTAAGATATTTTTGATGGAATCTGAGAGCTGTCTGACCCTGCATAGACAGCAATACAACTGAGTCACACCGGATCTGTTTCCTACGTTGTTGTGATTTGACCTGAATGAAAACAGCATATCCGGTGTGACGCAGCGGACACAGAACAGCATACGTTGTTTACGTCCAGCTGATACTCTCCAAAATGACGCTACAGGGTGACGCGGAGGAGACGAATTGTTGAATAAAGTCGTTTTTTTTTCTTTCTTTTGCACACAAAAAGTATTCTCGTAGCTTTGTATAATTGCGGATGAACCACTGATTTTAATTTGTGTTCTGAAGATGAACGAAGGTCTTACGGGTTTACGAGATATATTGGATCTGTGTGTCAGGTGCATTTATATTGGATCTGTGCATCAGGTTTTAAAGGGACAGCACTCTATACAGTGGGTAAAGGAAAGAATCACTCCCCCTTTAAAATAAACAAATTTTGTTGCTTTGCAGCCTGAAATGTATGGAGGGCCAAATTACTCAAAATTAAATCATTAAATAAATGCTGAACTATATAAATAAATCGTTAAATGCATAATTAACTAATTAAATGCATAAATAAATAAATAAATAACTATTTATTTATTGCCTCCACATTTCATTTTCAGGGTTACGGTTGTCGGCACGTCACTCAACAATAGTGGGTGACACCTTTGAAACTGGATTTCTTTGGTCTTTCTAGTTTAGGCGCCTTTTTCTTGTTCTCTCATAACGAGCTATGGCTGAGCATGGTAGGCCTATAGTAAAAGATCTGTTGTTGACTTTTGCGGATGAAGTTGTCAATCAAAATGTTGACCATGACATAAGTTTAATACAAGTAGAAAATATCCAGGAGATGTTTTTTTCCTTGCAATTTGCACTGTGGGCTGTACCACTGGTGCAGGGGTGTGGCCGCGGACTGTTATACAAACGCTTAATGTAATGTAGCCTACTAAAACAGTAACATTGAAGGTCCAAATTCAGTACACACCTTATTAATAAAGCATATTTACAGACAAGCAGAATAGCCCAGAATATGTAAGCAATACATTGCACGTTAAGCGCATTAAGCACTCAAACGCTTAATGTGGCTTAATGGACAAAGACAGTGATATAAAAAGCCCAAATGCGGTATACAGTTTATTAATAAAATATATACTATGTACAGCAGATGAGCCAACAATATGAACGCAACATGCTGAATTGCACGTTAAGCTTTTCCCCCATATAAATAAACAAACGTGGCTTTATAGAAAACAGTGTTGTAAAAAGGCCAAATTCAGTATAAACATTGTGTATGTTGCAAACTATATACAGGCAAGCAGATATGACCGGAATATGAACGCAACGCGCAAAGTCTCACATTAAGCATTTTCCTCCCATAAAAAACATTATTTGAAAACGCTTATGCATTAAGACAGTGATATTAAAATATGAAACTCAGCATACACCTTAGCATAGCCTACTATACGGACAAGCTGAAGAGCCCAGAATATGAACGCAACTCGCAAAATTTCACGTTAAGTGTTTGATTATATAATGAGCTGATACGAAGCACAGCATTCACAAAGAACAGCAGCTGAGCATAGAGTAAATGTTTATAAATTATTTGCATAAAAAGTTGTTTTTACAGCAGGCTACATACCACGAATTATGTAACTGGTCAGCAGCTGATCAGCCACTGTGAAATGAAGTCCCGTGCGCAAGTCTGCCAGCAGCGACCGCGGCCGTGGAAAGTAACAGCTGAGCATAGCAGACGTTATAAATTACTACATGTATAATGTTTTTCAAATATAGCTTTTACAGTTCAAACATTACCTCAAACTGGTAGCTGATACAAACTGTGAAAAGTCAGTGGCAGCTGAGCATATAAATGAGTATAAAGTACAGTCCTGAGAAAACGCTTATTCACCGAAGATATATGTAGATGGATTTCCTTTTATAAATAAAGCTTCATGTATACATATATCTCCGGTGGCTATATGTGTGTGTATGGCAGATGTGTATAAACAGGGCGGTGTTTAGAGTTTTCTATGGGAGGAAATCGCTTAACGTTAAATTGTGCGTTGTGTTCATATTCTGGGCTCTTCGGCTTGTCACTAATAGCATGATTTTTTAGTAAGGTATACCTATGCTTTGCTTGGTATTTTAATTACTGTCTTAACACATTAAGCATTTTCAAATAATAGTTTTCTATGAGAGGAAAACACTTAACGTGAGATTTTGCATCTCAAATAGATTTTGTAATGGGTTTAGGGGCTGTTCATACATTGCCTGTAACAGCTGGGGCTGCATATAAAAATCATTCCTTGATTCGCATTGTTCACTTGCTTGTAGGTGTGAACCGGATCATTGTTGATCATTTGCACGTGTTTCTAAGTCTTCATATTCCGGTCACATCTGCTTCCCAGTAGGCAATATAGTATGCAACATTAATAAGGTGTATATCGAATTTGGCCTTTTTTATACCACTAGCTTCTTCCATTAAGCCTGTGGGAGGAAAACTTTTAACATGCAATTCAGCATGTTGCGTTCATTCTCATCTGCTTACCTGTACCTAGTAACCTATACTTTATTAACAAATTGTATCAATAAATATACCGAATTTGGCACGTTCAGCATTTTCTTTATAGGCCTAATGGTTTTCAAAGGAGGACAAAACACATGAGTAGTTATAACATAGACTTTGTGTCAAATTGATGATTTATGACCTGATTTATGACCCCCTGTCAGCGTTGATTGACAGGTTGTCATATGTCAAATGTGTACATGGTCTGATTTATGGCTATATGACCCCTCTGTCACCCTGACTGCCATGACAGTGGAGTGTGTAAATCAAAAAGATCAAACCGGATGTTAGATCTGACTTTTGATGTATTTATGACTGGATTTATGATGGTTTTTATCTCTCACCTGTGCCATGGGGTTTTATGGCATTCCTTCCTGACCTGTTGCTCACTTCCAGTCTGGAGGTGTTTGGGTTCTTCCTGATTGTGGAAAAAATGGCTAAGCAAAGGGATCAATGTTTTGTTTGATCAGTAAGGTATATGCTAATGCTAGACACCAACAGTGTGGCTACCGACCCGTCTACATCCACCTCTGAATAAGGAGGTTGTCTGGACACATGCCTCCCATGTTTGTGTTTTAGGTCAACACCTTTGGTGGCTTGGTATCTAGACACCAGAGCCCAAAGCTTCTCCCCTATCTGTTTCCTACCGTGATGTAGTCGGTGTCCAATATAATGTTTTAATATGATTGTTAATGGGAATGTGCTTTGTTTGGGGGTTGAAAGAGATCCAAACACTTGTCCCTGTCAAACCCCTAAACGGTTCAGTTCTGCTTGATCTATAGGCTAAATGTTGATAGCTAAGACATCACTGTTTTGTTTGCAACAATACTGAAACGCTTTGGCAATACGAATGTACAAAATATTTATCATGCCAATAAAGCACCTCATGCAAAAAAAAAAAAACTGAAAACTGAAACATAGAATTAAAGAATTCACCAAGACCATATTTCTATATGCGTCTGAAAAATATGTTATGTCCGGGCATGTTCTTTCTACGTCATCTCTATGTGTGTATGCTAACACCTCTGTAGGATCAGAACAACCTTATCTGTAGGTTGAATAGATAAACTTATGAGAAGGAGTCGTAAGTTAAAAATGATTCAACTACCCTGCCCACCGTCCCTATCCATTTCCTTCTAACAGTGAAGGTGTCTAACTGACAGTGGATGCGAGTATCCTCTATGTGCTTGTGTTAATGGCTTTACAACATCCACCTCATATTATGTGCACAGAATCATGCTTTAGTTCAGTTCAGTTCATTTTATTTATAAAGCACAACAAAACAACAATGATTGACCATTGTGCTGAACAATATTGTTTAAAAGAAATCAAAGTACATAACATGATGTGACAAGACAAACAAATTTTAAATAAGCCCCAACATTTAAAATAAGCCCTGCTTTAGACAATGAATCAACACTTTGGCTGATTCTTCGGGCTCTCTCTCACACACACACACACACACACACTGGGTTTCCATGTTTTATGGGACATTGCGTAGACGTAATGGTTTTTATACAGTACAAACTGTGTTTTCCATCACCCTACATCACCTTACACATAAACCTACCCCTTACAGGAAACTTGTTACAGAAAATATGTGCATTTTAAGATTTTCAAAAAACTTAATTCTGTATGATTTATAAGCTTGTTTCCTCATGTGGACAAAAAAAATGTCCCCACAAGGTCAAGGATTTTGGATATTGCCATCTTTGTCCCATAACGTAGGGTATACCTGAACCACACACACACACATACACACAAATCTGAGTATACTCAATTTTAAGTATGAGCAAAATCTTATGTTGTTTTTACTTTTTGTTGTTATTTAAGAAATGTTTTCATTTTAATCTAGCCTGGAGATAGTATGTGTACTGTAAAAGAACAAATATACAT